CCCTGTCAGCAATCCTGACTGCAAACCAAGCAGCACTCCTGACACCAGACCTTCCAGCAACCCTGTCAGCAATCCTGACTGCAAACCAAGCAGCACTCCCGACAGCAGACCTTCCAGCAACCCTGTCAGCAATCCTGACTGCAAACCAAGTAGCACTCCTGACAGCAGACCTTCCAGCAACCCTGTCAGCAATCCTGACTGCAAACCAAGCAGCACTCCTGACACCAGACCTTCCAGCAACCCTGTCAGCAATCCTGACTGCCAACCAATCAGCACTCCTGACACCAGACCTTCCAGCAACCCTGTCAGTAATTCTGACTGCAAACCAAATGATAATCCTGGTTATACACGTAAAACTGTTGAAATGAAGCAAGGAAAGAAACATTTCCAAGCTACCTTCAGATATGACAGCATTAACCATCTCACTCGTGGTGAACGAGCATCCTTGAAGCTTCCAAAAAGTGGTCTTTGTATCACCCAAAGAGGTTCAGCTGGTTGAAAGTGGCAGTGAAGTCATTGACCCGCATCTTGTTAACATGCGTCCTGCTGAAAGTATGGTAAAGGATGCAATGGATATGCTGACAGTCAACAATTGCAGAGTGAATGATGGCGATGACAGCAGTGAAACATTAGTCAGGGTTGGTAAACTTGGTACATTTACATTGGCATCAATGAAAATTTTCCAAAACATGTGCACCCTTCAATCAGATGCTGTCAAGCTACAACAAGAAAGAAACTGGCTTTCACAAGAGAAGGAAAACTTGTCGGTCATCAATAAAATCCAAGACATTCTAGAAAACTCTAGGCCCCATGATGAAATGTTAAGGCAGGGCTCTTTTATTATTGATGTCCATGATTTTAGCACATTGGCAAGCAAACGATATGTCAATGGATTCACCATAGATACAGTGTGCTTAAAACTTTTACATGAGTGTTTGCCCACTGAAGTTGTTTACTTGCCAACATATAGTCAGACGTGGGCAAGGCAAGGTGTGCAGTATTTCAGTCAGAGGGTAAATCGGTTTTTTGGCCACTGTAAAGTGCAAGATGTGGAATGCATTTTGGCACCAGTTCATTTTGAAACTCTCAAACACTGGGGATTGCTTTGCTTTGAGTATTCAAGAAGAACAGTGTACTTTGATGATGGTCTCAGGATTTCTCCACCAAGAGACATTTCCACTGTGATAAGGAACATGCTGGGTGGTTTCAGAGCCCTTTCAGATGATGCCAGCTTTGATGAGGAACAGTGGAACCAGTTGAATCTTCCATTGCCACGTATCAACATGCCAGCTCAGACCAAAACAGGTGTAGGTTCCGGAAGCTGTGGTGTTGGAGTTATTCTGACTGTGAGAGATATAATATCTAGTGGAAACTGTCACCCATCATTTCTTTGGAAGTTTGAAAACATGGACAAGTTACAGAAAGAGCTGATGTCTCTTATCCTTCAGTGGCGAGATTAGAGGTACTTGTACTGCAACTCTTCCCTTAAACCTTGTTGCTGCTTGTGCACTCAGTACAAGCATCAGAAACATTGTGTGTACTCTACAAAATAATGTTGGTGAGAAGGTATTTAGTCAAGGACCTTGTGTGCCATGAGCACAAACAAAGATGTAAGAACTGGACACTGTGCAGTTTTTAGTGGGAATGTCCTTGTGCCTATTCTTGTGTACAAGTGGGAAGCAGGCTTCAGAGTAGAGTTTACAAATATACATTTTAACACTAATCAATGCCAATAATTATTAATTATTATTAATGTCTTGCAAATAAATACTTGTCAACAGTGGTGCCTAAACAAGACATAACAGTAATGTGTAAAAATAATGAATAATCTATTTCAGGAATTGTGACTTATTGAACAGAATATTTATTATCACTCAAGTTACTCTCTAAAACTCTGAAATTACAAGCAACTTTTAAGATAATGGTCATCAGTGGTAATAATTAGATTCAAGTGCTGAGTGAACTTGTATGGTATCTAAATTATCATCTGAGTCACTCTATGAAACTATGAAATAGCAAACAACTCTTAGATTATGACATCAAAAGGCATATTCTGCTCACTAATAATAATATCATAATTATGTGCCCACAACATTTGGATTCCATACCACTGAAACAACTTGCTTTGTGTAAATGTCAGTTGTTTTGCCAATTCACTATAACAATGTCAATCAACATTAACATGGCATTTGTCCATTGGAAAAGTTTAGTAAACAATCCACCTAATATTAAATTAAATTAATCAATAGACGATATTTGTATTCTCAGTATTGGACTGGAACTAGCTTGCAATGGAGGTGAAAAGATTCCCCTGCATCAGCCTCCATTGCAAGCTAGTTCAAGTCCAATACTGAGAATAAACATATGGTCTA